TATTATTTGCCAAAATAGGGGATTAACACGGCACAGACGCAACTGCTGAGTAGCACCGCTGCATCCGTCACAATTGGTGCAGGTACGCCTTCTTTATTTCATTACTCGCATGATAATCATAGATGTCATTTAGCCTAATTTGTTTCTTTTTCATCTCTTCTTTTTAATTTAGTTGATAACGATTTGTATGAAAAATTTACTCAAATGGCTCCACTTTCTACTCTTACTCGCGATACTTAAAAAATTGTGGGTGAAAAAAAGATTAATTTTGTAACAAACTTTTGAATCTTTAGACCACAGAGTATCCATTTGCGCTGATATTTGGTCCGATCATTAGGTAAATGATAGTTAGATTTTACAAAAATGTTTAATAGGTTACGTTAGATTTCTTGAACAACACACTGCTTCTAATATCACTCGCTTAATTTCAAAGGTCTTGGATAAATATAAAATTGATAAAAAAAAGGTGTATTCCAATTTATTTGATAATGTTAGTGCCAATACTGAATCTATACGTGAGCTTACTGAAATTTGTACTCCCATTTGTTTGTGGGGACAATTTTTTCATATTCGTTGTATATGTCATGTCTTAAATCTTTGTGTGCAAGCTGGTTATCGTACTTTTAAAGACTCGGACACGCCCATTAGGGATGCCATTAATTGTTTATATAAATGTCCCCATGGAATGAAAGAATTGTCTAAATTGTGTAACTTTCAAGGGTTTAAACTTAAAAATTCTAATAGGATGTTCCTAGTGTTAGTGTTATATATTAAAAGTTTAGCTTTGGATGATATTACGCTCTTACACTTTATATTCAACAAGTTCTATATTCAATTGTTTTGCACTTAAATAAAGTGGGTCGTCATCTAGCGAACGGAAAATCATTCTATCAGTTACTTGCGAAACAGGAATTGTGGTTCACAACCTAGATGGACATGAATACCCCTTTCGAACAGTTGTAGTGTCCACGGTACTGTTTGTCTTGACTGATTAGTTGCACTAGTACATTTATGTATTGAACAGGATCCCAGAGAGAAGAAGTTCATTTTATACTAATCGTTCGTTTATACTGATCGTCGTAAATGAACTAGGCCTCGGTTAATTACTGCGTTCTCTTAACCCATAAGGTATTAAATAGACATATATATACAGTATATGTTTGTCCCATTTATATTGCGTTTTCCTTATTGTTTTGTCTTTCTTTTTCTCCCCATTTAGGTCCTTTCGTTAGTTTTTATTCATTTTTATAGTTTATGTGTGTTTTGCTCTATTTTGGTCTTCTATGTGTTTTTCGTGTATTTTGCCGGTTTTCTACGTTTTTCTTCCTGTTTTTAGTGTGCAGGTCAGAAGCCCCATGAGGAATAGATTCAGCCCAAAAGTTGAACTGACAAGCATGGTTGTGTAGACGGGTTCGTTGGCGACATATAGAAAGAAGCGGGGCTCAATTTCGAGCTCAGACGAGTCCGAACGGGCCCAAAACGTGAAGTCGCGCGAAGCACGTCTTTTGTGTGCTGGTAATAAGCTTTAGGAGAATTGGATTTCAAGAGTAGTTTAGCCATGCAAGCATCATTGAATAAAGAGGTTCGTTAGCGACGTGTAAGAAAAAACAGAATTCAATTCCGAGTTCGGACGAGCCCAAATGAGCCCGAAACGCAAAGTCGCGCTGCCCAGGCCATAACGACAGTAAGGTCTTAGCGGCGCTAAGCCTGGCTTTTCTAGCGGTGTTACACCATGTTAAGGACCACCAGTAGCTCGGGCTTTCATCCTTTAGAGCCGCTAACCCCCTTTAGCGGCGCTAAGACCACCTGCAACTCCCAGAATGGTATAAAAGCCCCAAAAACTCGTTTTTTTTGGAAATTTTGACCACCAGCTCGAAGGGGGAGGAACCCTAGGTCCGAAAATTGCCTCCCTCCTTCATTTTCCTTCTTCTTCTTCTTCTTCTTCTTCTTCTTCTTCTTCTTCTTCTTCTTCTTCTTCTTCTTCTTCTTCTTCTTCTTCTTCTTCTTCTTCTTCTTCTTCTTCTTCTTCT